TAGTTAGGGAGGCGACCGTCTTGTCTGTGATGGCTTCCATCTAACAGCTTCAACAGTCAATTTTTTGAATGCCCAGGATGTCAGATCATAGCTGGCTAAGCGAAGTTAAAGTTGGCTTGAAATACACTACAGCTTTACTCTTCTCTGTAGGTGGTGAACGCAGTCCTGCACTAGTATTTTTACCTGGAAGATTTTGTGCGTTCTGAGCGTTGCGTAATAGTTAAACTCTATTACAAATTTACAGCGGATTATCATTTTTCCCTCATTGTTATTATTCAGAAATAAATGAACATATTTTGGAGATAGATATTAAACATTTTTAGTCTTGTTTTTTGTTCTTATGAACAGTGTTTATTATAGCAAGTTGGGCAGTTGGTTTAATATGGTAAAATTAAACTGAACCTGTTTCCATCACCTCTGTGGTGACTCTTTAGTCAAGTGCCCAAAAACCAAGCATCATGAGACAGATCTCGTTGCTGGAAGAAATCGGTGGACGTATTGAACTCGAACGACAAGAGCAGCAGCATTGTTTGTCTCGGATAGCGGAAAGTGACGACGAAATTTTTCTCGAGGATGAAGTCCAACGCATCACCCTTATTGCCTCCCCTGATACTGATGCTTTAGATCGCATTCCAACAGGTGTTATCGCTTGCCTACGCGGCTTTGAGCCTGCGAGATACGAAGGATCATTCACAGTTCTTGATCTCGCTTTTCTGGAGCCGCAGCCGATAAGACCAATTACAGCGACAACTGTTAATTCAGCTTCTTATCCGCCCTTGCTAAATGGTAGTGGTCATTGGGTTGGATTCGTCTCAGGCCTCGGTTTTGTTGCATCGGCCGAAGCGGCAAACAATGGAAGCTGTCATGGACACCCGCTGGCACTACGTCTCCTTGGTGATTGGTTAAGGAAGGTTCCGTTGTGTCGCCTTTTCGTTCTTGGAGATTGTATCCGCTCAAGCGAGCCTGGAGGCTTGGAAACCCTCGGGGTGATGCCAAGTGTGCGTTACTAAGTTAATTGGGTACCTGGGATGATGTTTAACCTTAAGCCCAATTTTTTGCTGCTTGAATAACTTCGTACGTACTTCGGTTGAGCTGTAAAGATGTTCAACTTGTATTTTGTTCTCCAAATGCTTCTGAAATCAACTCTCTCACCAAACTTGACTTAGCACACTTGTTTAAATGGATCAGGGATGTTTTTTTGCGAGTCTTCTTTTGTATTAAATAGTCTTTGTTCCTAGTCCCTTGAGTCCCTTAATCAAAGGTTGTTTGGCTTAATTATTGAATGGTACGCTATGGCCTTTTTCTGATTGAAAGAAGTACCTCTATCTGTAGACCCGATTTACAAGCCGTAGGGAGGATGCCGATTCCGTGATGGCAATGAGCATGTTTGATACTTGGCTCTCTGAATTGCCTCTCGGCGGCGGAGGTGAAGATGGTGGTTTCAGTGTGGAACTCCTTCCAGGCGCCGCGGACTGCGTCTCCCAACTACTACCTCAACAACCCTTCCACCCTCTTCTCTTCCCTCGTACTACCTCCCGTTTTGGCCGAGGCGAAGGAGGTCTCGTTAGCTCCACCAATCCCTGCTTCTCGGAAGTCCATTCACGTCGCATTCTTGCGACCTCTGGACAAAACGTCACTGATGTTCACAAGTGCGCATTTTGTTGATTCTATTATCCAGCCTCTATGACATATTCCGCTGGGCCTTGGTAACATCTCTACGCAGTGTCGTCAGTCATGCAGAAGTTGTTGAACCTCTTCATAATGCAGAGTTATCTGTAGTTAAATGATGCAAATTTCTTCCGTGGTTGGCATTGTCTTATGCGGACCCTTGACGCATTTCCTGCCACACCTCAATAGGAGCCTATCAAATTCTGTGCCTTCTTCGATTTTCTTTCGGATCTAGTGTTGATAACTCTTAATTATTTTGTTTCCAAAATTGCGCATTAACTGTACCTATCAATTAACTTCGAAACCTTTCTTTGATCAATTGGGACCTTAATTTCTTCTCACTTTTATTTGTAGATACACAATTGTTGGCGACCCGCTAGACTGCATGGAATCCCTGTTGCACTGGGGCCACGTAGCTCCCACATGTCCAGACACACTCTTTGCTCATCCCCAAAAGGACACGGATTTCCTTCTGTTCACTGTCGACCCCGAAACTGGAGCTTCAAACGACTATCCAGATGTCTTTGTGGCGGGAAACCAGCCGGCTGCGCAGTTTCGACGCGCCTCCTTAAATCCCATGAATACCTCAAATGGGGCTGAGAAGGGTGCATTACTGATTACAGTGCCGCGTTTTGATGTATCATACACGATGGTTTTGCTGGAATTGGAAACACTAAGATGTGTTCCGCTGAGATTTGATATATCGCAGTTGGAGTAGGATTGGTCTTCATTTTTCACTGTAAAATAAAGAGCAGATACTAACGTCACTCCTCTGTGTCGTAAGAGCTTCGCAGAGTCCTCTGAGGATGTGGCAAGGCACTAACTGCGCGGGAGCTTGTTCCTATTCGAGAGAACATGTTAGCTCAGACGCTCAGAATTGTTGGACGTCTTGATTTTCGCAGACATCTTTTCATTATATTCATGTGAAAACGCATTTAAGTTCATTTACGAGCGTTAAGATGTTGAGTTCAGAGATAATAACTCCATAGCCGAGATGAAGAACTAGTTCTCAAGCAGTCCTGACTCATATTAGTCTTGCTAGTACCCATTATAGCAAAATTAATGATACGCCAAGGTGACACTGAAAGCTTGAACAGCCATGAGGATTCGAGCAGATATTGCCTCCGGAGCTTTGATTGGAGCGTCGAAAGCACCCCACCCTCGAAAGACCAGAAAATGTCACAATCCACCATATCCTTCCGAAGCAGATTACATTCAAAGGCGACTTCTCTTTGTGTCGTTTTGGACAACATCCGCCTTCACGAAAGCATTAACACGATGACCGGCAGTTTTGGGTATCGCTAGTACTTCGAGGGAGGAGATAAGAGGACGTTAATTATGTTGCCGTAATAACAGGAATCGAAAAATTCGAAAGAAACTCATCTGGTTGGTTATGCGTTACACTTGAGCTTCAAACCCACGCATATTTCAAGACTCACGCATAATGATGTTGCCTTGCCAATGAGGGTGCAAATCGCACGTATACTGCCGGGCAATTCCTCCGAATCCACAATTTCAGACCCAGTCATTGCAACGCTACCATGAATGAAGCGTCAACGTACAAAATACATCTCTATTGCAGATGAAAATCAGGTCTGAGATGGGTATTGTACGTGTGGGCGATGTCTTGCCTTTGACAGTCGTTTAAATAAGCTATTGTCTGAACAGTATTACAAAAAAATATATATTGTACGAAATAACTTCATTAAGTTACTGCAATTTCTGTCTCAACTCCTCAGGATCGCCTAACAATTCGGAAAAGTGACGCTCAGGAGGATGAGCCCTATCAGCCGCGTGATCTCGTCCCACCAACCAATCGCCGGCCAATGGAGGGCGCCATTCAACAGCCGAGCTTGAACGGATAATCCGACGCTGTGCAGCAAGTAGACGTGCTTCTAGAATGTCCAGCGCCTTCCGTGTCAACACCAGACTGTCGTGATGGACCATTGACCAGACGTTCAAACCGTGAACAGGCATTAGAGTCAGTCCACGACCAGGGTGCAAACTCCGTGGCGCGGCGTATTGAGAACCCTCGCGCAAACGGCCCTACGAATTGAGAAGAGATAATAAGGCCATTCAAAATTCGCCACCGTGTCACCATAGAGAGTATTTGCAAATGAAGAAGTGGAGCCAATTCTCCAATCAGTATCAACATTAAAGACCCAGTTTAGGATTGTAAAGCACTTATTCTTAACCCTGTTTCCATGTCATTCCTGCCCATCAACACCGATCAGTTCTTAAGAGCCAACACATTACAAAATTGTACATACATCGCGATAGAAATCTGAAATTCGGAAAGAAACAAAGATCATGAAAAGTAATTGGCTTAACCTCATTGCCTACAAAGTCCGATGATTTAAGT